TTCGTTGGGGCTACCGTCAGTCCCGTGCACAGTGTCGACGTGAACCCGTAACAGCGCCCTTCTTGAGGCATTCCACTTGAACAATACACTTAAACTCTTAATTTCACAGCTTTTTAATTTTCATTCCGGAGTTTTCAAACGAGTACAACGAGTTCGGTAGAGCCAGTTAGAAGACAGGAACATGATGTTAAAGAAAAACTCAGAGTCCAATATATTAAGCATACTTATTTACTTAATCTATACAGAATCGAGTAGATAAAATTTCAGATTCACATTAGTGAAAAATCTCTACAAAATGTTTTTGAAAAGCAAAACAAAGACTGCCTGTTCATTTATCATTTTTCCTCACGAAAGCAGACGTGGGTTGTAAAAATAAAGCAGTGTGTTTAGCACAAACTAGATTTCTGCATCACTTTTTTCACAGTTATTTCCATCTACAGTCCAAAGAGGTAGATTTTCTGCGACACCTGAGAATTGAACTGTAACATAACCAGGTGTAATGAAAGGAAGGACAAAACATCAGAGATACAGCCCTAACTTACTCGTTTATGTATGGATCCCATATAATTTAGCTTTTCTGCAGCTTAATCATGGTGAAACTATCAGTCAGGTCCTGAAGTTTTGAAAATTTGACATAATTATTTCAGGCTACATCAGTTTACAGCCCAGGTTAAACAGTTTGTGGTAGCGGAAGAAAGGCAATCATAGAAGTTTACTTAAAAACCCTACTGGAGCCAATTTGGCTGCAGACTGGCAGTGCAATAGCCTGCTGGATGGCAGATCAGTTCGAGTGCTGAGCTCATCCCTTATATGAGTTTTTGTAATTTTTCAGGGTTTTTTTTTGTTTTTTTTTTTAAACAACACTCTCTAAGCAATGCATGAAATTGAGTTGACTGGTTTCAGGAAGCAAAGTATAGCTCACCTTGGCCTGGTAAGTTGATACAACATAGGTATGTTATGGGTAAAAGAGAGAAAAAAAGATATCCCCATCTTAAAAGCCTTTCACTTTGGGCATTCTGCTTCATTTACATATTAAGTCAGTAACAAATATATTTATATTGCTGTTCTATACGTCTGTCACATCTGCAAAAGCCCTTTAAACTATTCTTGCAGCAGAGTTGGAAAAGTCACTCTCGCCTCCGCATAGAACAAGCACTACAGAAAGAATTGTTAAAGATACAAATGTCCAAATAATAAATTGTAAAAACAGAATGGCATGTCCTACCTTGCCAAGGGTATGATGCATCAGATAGAAAGTTTCTCACTTTTCCTCAGGAAAATTACTTCATGTTTGTGTTAGCTGAAAACCAGTTCTCGCGATAGCTATGTTTTAAACAGTTTGATTCTATAAAGCAAGTAATTTGAAAAGCAGGTCTGAAATACTTCTTTCCAGTATTTTTTTTATGCCGTACAGTTAGCATGATTAACATTTCAAAGCTCTGAGTTTAACAGGACTGGCTGCTCATTGCTACCTTCTTTTCACTCCTGCATTGTGCTTGGACCACAAACACAATAAACCACACAAGTCTAGGAGAAAGATGTCCAGCTTCCTATTTGCTCCACCATTTCAAAAATGTCAGTTTTGCACAGCTCCTCTCAGCGGTACGAGCTAAAATACATTTATGAGGCCTCACATAACCTTAACTCACTTTCAGAGACAGCTACATTATTTAAATGTACATTACTACAGGAAAAGGATCAGGAGCTCAGTGCAGCCTGAACATTCAAGTAATTTAGCCACTGAACTGTCAAGGGCAAGGAGGGGTGGGAAGCTCATTGAGAGATGTGCTTGATTCAGAAATCCCTCCCAAGTAAGTGCAAAGAACTCGAAGTACCAGAAAAGGTGACACAGTTCGTATTTCTTAAAACAACAGCAACCAAAACTAGAAAGTAAATAAACAGGAACGGAAGGTAAAGGTAGTTATTTTGCACATTGCCTTGCCATAAAATAATCGTTGGTCCTGGTTTCAGGAAAAGAAGTAAAGGTGTGGGTATCAACTCCTCTAGGAAAAGACTACATGGTTTAAGGTTAACAAGGGAGCTTTGTTTGTGGTGTATCAGAGCAAGAATTTGAAGTACCAACTTTACCAGATAACCCAACTGGGAAGGCACTCCACCAACTGGTACAGCTTTGAGGTTGAGTTTGCAATAAATTCCATGCTGTACTTCAGGAAAAGTATTTGAATCTACACGTTCAATTACAACCACTCTATGCTCAACTAGTGCTTAGAAACGTTGCATACAGGCCTACAAGAGAAAGCCTATGTGCCACAGGCTCATCGTCTCCCACACTTCTGGCACTAAATGTCTATTTTGCAGCCCTTCAGATCATCCAGAGATGCATCTAGACAGCAACAGGTTTCTCTAGTCAGGATAACCCTGTGGTGGGCACGCTGCAGCTAAGAGGGAAGAACGCGGCCAACACACGTGCAGGACGCTACACAACTGCAAAACTCCCCTCGGTAACGTCGTTGTACATTTTCGCACGTGTTTATACTTCACATGTTCACAGGTAGGGCAACTAGTCCAAATCAACCTTTACAACACAACCCTGAGAAGTCTGCAACAAGTTGTACGCCCTGTTTCACCAGCTGCAAATCAATGTATGCCAAAGCCATTTTTTCATACCACAAAGTACACAAACCCCTTGAAACGTATCTTTTACTATATCCCGGGCCTTACTTTTTCATTCGGATATATGAAAACATACTAGAGGGGAAAGCTGACATTTTTTACTGGCCATGAGACATCCCTGTGTAGATAAATTTACTGGGAAAACTGGTAATCTTTAGTATACTGAGTGGCAAATCAATGAACAAAACCAGAATGCTGTTTTTTAAGCCAAAGAAGAAGTGACCTGCTGTCACTATTTTCCCCCGGAACAATGTTCTATCTGTACACGGTCTTCCATGACAGTGATCTGTGTTGTGGGGAAGAAACGCACATGCATCCTTTTATGGAAAAATATTTTCTTTTAAAAAATGAGGCAGATGTGCAACACAGTTGTGGAAAATTTATAGTTTAAGCTATTCAAAGCTGCTATGCAGCTTCCTGTACCACATAAGTCCAGTAGTTCTAAGAAAATACAGATATGGTAGAAAAAGTAAGAAAATTTTCACCACAAAACCAAATAGTTACCACCAACAGAGAAAGTTATACACAAAATATATCTCTCAATACAGTGTTTACACTTCATTTTAGTCTACAGATTCAGTGCCAGGAACAGGACTTGTGGAGACAGTCTTTTCAGAGCCATTTGCTGTACGTGATTCCACGTTGGGTTGGATTCCTGGTTCCGTGTCAGTGGGAGTTCCCAGCTCCTCATGGGAATTGAGTGTGCAGGACTGCAAGACCTGCACAGCGAGATCCACATCTGCTTCTCTGAGAGAAACCTGCTCCTTAAGGACTTCCACCTTCTCGTTCAGCTCATTCCTTTCTGTCTGAAGGGCCCGGCACAGCTTCTCCAAACGCTCCAGTTTGATTTGAAAGCCCTTGTATTCTTTATCTCTTACCGTTTTCTGAAGGACAGAAGAAAGTAAGAGCGCTGTGATCCAACTGATTATTTTTTCCCCGCCCCTTAATGAAAAGAACCACCACGATTTAACCTTGAATATTGTCTTAATTAATCCACTAGATCGAATTCCAGCTGCACTAGAGCAAATTTCCTCAGAATACTTTACCACTTTAGGAGGTTTGTCTAAGCTGGAGTGGTAACAGATGCCTTTAGAAACAAGCAACAAGAATGACATAATACTAATTGTAAGCAAGGGCTGAGTACCAGTGAGGATCTTGACACGCAGTCCCAGAAAGCAGTTAATTACAACCCAAATAACGCTAACTCTGAGCAGCAGTCGGACAGAGGTGGCAAACGATCTACAACCCAGCAGGAGAAGCCAGGTCCCAAGGTCATGGCTCTCCTACCTAGCTCCTCAGCAGAACAGAGGAAGACAAGGAGTGGGGCTGTGGCAGAGCCTCCATGTTCAGCACAGCTGTACCTCAGCTACTTGAACCAGGCCTCAGTCAGCATAGGCAGACCTGCACCCCTACGGCCCACATGAAAACTGTTTTAGCTTGTATTTCATACACATTATCCCACCAATTACACAGCCAGCAAGGAAAGACGAGGCTGGATTTTGTGTGTGCTGTGAGTTGAGATTTATAGAGCTGCTTTTTATTTTCCCTGTCTGAGGAGAACAGCACCACTTACACAGCAGAAAGCATAAGGCAGACAACCCAAAAAGAGGCTAACACATATTATTTCCAGTTCTTTAAAACTGAAAAACTGTACAAATTCCCCTAGGGCACAGACACCAGGTCATACTTCTGCTTAGAAGACAATTACCTCTTCAGCCATTTGCAGGAGAGCTTTGTTGTTATTTTCCCATTTAGTACGCCACACTATGGTTTCCTTTTCCAGTTTCTTAATCTTCTTAGTCATCTACAAAAGATAAACAAAAGACTTCATTTTGTGGTTTGTGTTGCAATGTAGGTAGGTTTACGGGGGTAATATGATTTCTCAGTGTTCGTTTCCAACTCCAGTTTGAGCGAGTTGTTTAACAGAAAAGTCTTCCTGCACTAAAGCAGCCCTACAAATACAGATTTTGCGTTCCAGTAAAACAAAATTGATTCTTAAAAGAAACAGACTACCAACCTTCAAGTGCAACTAATACAAAGCTCCAGGCAAAGTTATAAAGCATAAGCTCAGCCAAATAGACCAACAAGCACTGTATGCCTTTGAAACAACACTGAAATTGGGATTTAGATATTAGGCAAGTATGTCAAAACCCAGAAACTACTGCATTTCTCTTCCTTAATGACAAAGCCTTAAGCTCTATCTTACAATCTAAATTGAATGTCAAAACATGCCATATATTCTCAGAAGGCAAACAGTGCTGTAGCATCTGAAATGTATCCTGCTAACAGCATGCATTTTTATGTTACTTTTTATCAAACTAAGTAATCCTATAAGTACCTTCTCCATTTCTTGCCTGAAGGTTGTAAAGAGTTCATTACTTTTTGCCATGGTGGTCTGGAATTCTTCAAACTTATCCATGTAAAGAGAAAGCTGTTGGAAAAGAGGCAGTAACATTAACCTGCACAGCTGTATACAAATACAAAAATATTAAGGGACAGGGAAAATTAAACTCAAAAGAACACAAGATTAACTTTATTTTGCATTTTTTTTTAGTATACTACAAGTTCCATCTGAAGAGCATGCAGAACTTGTCTGAAAACATGCTATTCAAATTACACATAAGAAAGAGTTCTGTTTAACAGAACAGCAGTCTATTCTAAAGTAAAAAGGATATGTTTAATAAAAGGTTGGAAGACATCACAGTTCATCACTATCTCATTTTTGCTGCCTCACTGAAAAAAAAAATAGTCTGTGGACATAACATACACGGAAAGTTCAGCACATGGCTAGTGAAACGAAACTTAGAAAAGAGCTACCCTTCAACCTTAACCAGCCAAAGCTAATAATCAAGGCCGTGAAGAAATAAACATGATTGATTCCAGAAATCAAAATGCACATTCACAACCTACAAAATCTGCCCAGTGAGCAAAAAATTACAAAACTTGAATATTGACAGTGAATTCACTTAAGATTGAAAAGCATTACATGTTAACAAGTGAAGAGCATTAACTCTGAATGACAAAATTTTCTTGCCCGGCACCACAAGGTCAATCAGGAAGGAACTGCAAAATGTTAATTATTTTTTTTCTAAGTTATGGTTCTTATTAAAACAACTTTTACTGTCAGAATGTGATCTGATGTTCTAAGAATAGATCACCATTTACTAGTAACTTCATCTGAAGAGTAATCAGTTCTCTCAACTCTTACATTGGGAGTTGCAGGACAGTACAACTCAGAGCACAGAAATATTGTATTTTGCTTTAACAGGAGAGGAAATTTCCCATCAGGAATTAGCCTAGCGTGTCAACTGTACATTGTGACTCTGCCATTACTGTGACTGAACTTTCTAGATCATCTTATTCAAAAAAAAGCCCAAAAACCAGTCAGCCCCAGGAAACAGTAAACTATACAGGCTGTTACTATTAAAAAGTGTAACAAAAGGGCAGCAGGATTTTAGGTAAAGGGTAAGGAACTTGAAAAAAAAAATCATAAAAGACTAAGCACAGTGTCATGGGTTAGGGCTGGGCCAGCCACTAACACGGACAGATGCTCTCTAACCCCCTCTTTCCCCCTGCAATGGGAAGGGGAAGGAAATGAAGCAGAGAGACTTTCGAGTTAGAGAA